TGATGCATTTACACTGGAATGAACAGATGACAAATGACATTAAATGATAAACAGTGATGGACGCTACTCACTCGTATTCCTCTTCTACATCTGACATAGCTGCAATAAAGACAAACAGATGACAGTCTGATAAAGAAGATCATGAAGGAAGCATTGGAATATAGCTAGCTGAAGAGCAAAAACATACAAAAAGCTATTTAAAGATGTCAATTTGGTTTCTGTTAAATGTGCCGGGTGTTTTATTCACTATTTTGTAATTATGTCTTTCCTCTCACACGCAACAAATTTTAAAATATAACAGGCAAACTTGAGTGAAATACACTGACAAAATCCCTTCCCCCACAATGTTTTAATTTTTACTTTAAAGGAAACTGTGCACTCTAGTGCCAGCCTCAGAGTCTTTATGTCCCCATAAAGGTCAAAAATTTTATTCATCCAATACTTTAGTTTATGACCAAATACCTGGAAAGTTAAAGACACCACCATCAGCTCTAGTTGTACATAGTGTTTAACGCTAATCAGAAAATGTTAGCATGCTAACACATTAAACATGACTGTGTTAGCATTGTCATGTAAGCATGTTAGCATATTGATGTAATATGTAAAATCTGACATCAGACATAACATCCCTCTTGAAAGTGGTCTACCACATATTGATAGTGGCTGTGGCATTGGTGCCTCACTAAAATCTAATGAAACTCCCTGGTTGGGATGTCTGGAATATCTTTTGCCTACATGAAGATTTACAGGACTTATGCACTAATCCTTCTAAAGATTGTTTATCTAACAAGTTGTCTTGAAGTCTTCTTTTACTGACTACAACACAATAGGGACATTTTAGTTAGATTTTAGATATTACCATAAAAATACTGGCAACCTGGATGAAAATGATTTAGCCCATATAAAGTGTTTTAAAATAATGCATAATGGAAGGGCTGGTTGTGCATAAGTACATGAGTCATCATTACTAAATGACAGGTGGCACGAATCTCAGGTCTCCTGGGATTCATGACATTGGAGACAGAAAACCACACACACAAGCACAGAGAGAGGCAATGCTAGGAAGGTTTTGGCTATAAATTGTCCCTCTGAGCTGCCATTGTCCTGACATGAAACTATGCAAGGCAGACATACACAGTGGGTGTGCGCTGACGCCCTCCTGGCAAGAGATTCAGGGAGACTGATGGAGCACCAACAGGTGAGAATGTGACAAGGGTTAAATGCAGAAAGACCAAGAGAGATAGAGCTTCGCTCGCTTTTTAGTTCTCCTTACATCTTTGTCCTTCTGTACTCCTTTGTTCTCAGTCACACTTTACCTCTGACCTGGTGTTTCTCACCAGCACTTCCTTCTTAACAATTGGTTTCACAGTTTAATGTGCACTGAGCAATTTACATGACTCATCAACTCAGAAAGTCTGTTGTCTCTGCTTTTATAAAGGATACTTTTCCAATTATGTGGCCAAACATTTTCAAAACCTCAAACAGTAAAAAGCACTCTGATGCCTCTCAGTCTTGTCCTCCACTCTGCCTACCTTTTTTTCATTGGGAAGAATTAATAGATGCCCTGTGCCTGTGCCGTTGAATTTCTAGAGGCATTAACAGTTGATGAAAGCTCTTATCTCTCTCTCCTCTGTCTGCTGTCATGTGCATTGCCATGCCATACCCAGTGCTTTCGGCTAGAAATCAATATATTTCCTGTCTTTCAGCTGTTATTATTCTGTCTGTATAAACACAGCTTCAGCTTCAGAATTGTTTGCCCATTCCAGATCCTTAATTTCTTTTAATTATCATGCATCAGCAAAATAGAAAATGAGTTTTAAAGGAACAGATCATCATTTTGGAAAATGCACATTCACTTTCTTGCTGTGGTGGAGGTGAGAAGATCGACAACATTACCAAAAAATATGAAGATAGCCAACTGCTGGTTAGCTTAGCAAAAAACTGGAATCATGTGGAAACAGCTGGCCTGACTTTGTCCAAAGTTATTAAGCACAAATAAGAAATAGTCCATTGCTGTTATTTTTTCTTAAAACTCAGGTCTCTGTGTTAGCCTAATTGCTCATAACCCCGCTGCAAAACTACAAACTATTGCTGTTATTTTTTCTTAAACTCAGGTCTCTGTGTTAGCCTAATTGAAGCAGTTACAGTATAACTGATACTGTTATATGAACAGTGTATCAAATGACATTGTGAAAACAATGTCAAAGGGGTCACTCATAGTGAAAAACGTAACAGAAAGTTATCACCCAAATCTGTAGCCTCCAGTTTTAAGGACCTTTGTAGTGAGTTTCAGCTCACTGTTTAACTCTCTCACCTACAACTTTACTGGATGGTTCACTCTCACTGCTCTCTACATGCCCAGCACCAAATGGCTGATAGAGTTAGCAGCTAGCTGGTGAACACAGTGGGGCATTTAGCAGCTAAATAGCCTGATATTTCCCACAAATACAAACCAGAGCTAAAACAGAATGAGTATTGTCCTTATGCATCCACCGATCACTTTACATTCTTGAGGTCATAGTTAAAGATAGTGTTGTAGTGAACTATATTATATTTAGAGGTGTACATAAAAGAGAGGATCAGAATATTAGGAACACCTCTGACTATAATGTAGTTCAGTACAACACCACCTTTAACTATGACCTCAATAATAAACATATAACTGAATTTATACATTTATGGCAATTTCACCAAAAACTGAAACATTTTGAGCTTCATAAACACAGATGTTAAGGTGGAAGTATTGCATTAAAGTGCATACAATTGTACAGGTGTACCTAATAAAGTGGCCAGTGAGTGTATATAAAGGCCTCAATAGCTATTGTTTGCCAACAAGTCTGCCATATCAGCTTATGATATGTTCACAAGGTGTTTCCTCTGCCCTCAAACATTTCCAAACAACTGTAATTGCTGGTTTAAACAAATGATACAAGTTCATTAGTTAGCTGTACAGGTGCTGGTGGGTGGACTTTGTTACATTTGGAAGAGTTCGTAAAGTTGTTTTACCATGTTTCCAGTTTGTGCGCTAAGCTAACTGACTGTTGTATTTAGATTCCTGTTAGCAGCATAGACAGGAGAGTGGCATCAGTCAATCTTCTCATCGAACTCAGAAAAAAAAAGTATTACCTGAAATGTCAAAGAATTCCTTTAAGAGGAGAAGATATTATGATTGTGATATAAAATATATATCTTGTGATATTTATTTGCTGTATACTAACAGCAAAGCAATACACTGAAAGCCATAAGATATCAACTTGAAGAAAACATGAAATTTCACTGGACCTTCACAAGAATCACTTGGAGTTGAGTGCCTTGCTCAAAGCATCTCTCAGTGTAATCTTAAATGGAGGAGGAAAGCCTTATTTTACTCTAAAGGTACATCAAAGTAATACCTATAAATAAGGGCATGAGGGTAAGTGGGAGAGGTGAGAGGGAGGGTGGGGAGTAATGACAGATGGATGAATGAGAGGTGCACATTTCAACACCTCTGTCGGAACAGTCAGAAACTGCCCGTTTTGGAGCTAAACGGAGCGAGGGAGTGGGAGATGAGTGAGCCAGGGGATTTAGGAGAAGAGTCAAGTTCCAGTAGACAACAGACATAGGCTTTAACAGGGTTAAATTTAGTCAAGGACAGTGTGTGTGTGGAGTAAAGGTGAATGGGTGTACAACAATACCTAAATTGTGCTAAAGAGAGGTTATTTTAGCTATTAGCCTATTACATTTTAGATAGGAAAGGAAAATGACCCCCTTGAGGGGGTCTGAGTAAGTGAGGACCAGCCAAAATGTACTCACTTTCCAAAATGTCCTCAGTCCCATGATTTAAAAATCAACTTGGTCCTCACATTGCTGGCTACACACACACACACACTACATTCATGTATGCAGACACCTGTTTAGGCAGTCTGTGTGCTAAAGTTAGCTTGTCTGACTTCAGACTGTTAGCATTTGTGTATGTATTTAGCAATGACCACAAAGAAACAAAGTAATGAGATATGATATGCTAAGCTAAGATGAGCTAAGATAAGATAAAATAAGACAAGATAAGATAAGATGAATCTTTATCAGCCTCACAAAGAGGACAGCAGCAAAGAGAAGGATAAGATAGATGGGTGACAGGCTATGCACACAGACATACACACATGCAAACTGCACACACAAAAGCCTAATTAGCAATCAGACCCAGTATAGTTAGGTCTATTAAAGGAAATGCACTCAATCAAAATACTGCAGCCTGCAAATAATTTCCTGAATGCTTTTATTAAGGTCTACCCACATAGATATAGTTTTGTACAAGTGGGAACTGAGGATGTCTGCTTAGGGCAGTAATAATCATCATCCTTTGTCTTGGCTACAAAATGAAACCTTATTTATATGTACTGAACCATCCCATGTACTGTAAATAATCTACACCTACATAATAACTGTTGTGTAAATTTCTAGATGTGTGATATTATGTCAGTTTGAGTGCCTGCTATGGTAACACAGATACACAGGCATATGGAAGGATGGATAGATGCATACTAGAAGTGACAGGTCACACAAGGCAGCCACTATCTAAGAACAGATGCTTTATATCGGAACCATTCTTCTGTCCATCCATTGATGTAACACAGCATAGTGCTTGCAGAGTAGCCATAAAAATGTGATTTTTTTATATACTTTTGCATAACTTATGAAATTAAAGTATTTCAATATATACATTGTCACTTACCTCTAGTGATATCTACTCATTCAGGTACACTACTGCTTGCTTTATTTGTTGGGGTTTTGGAGATCTATCTTTAAGAGTTTTGCTGCTGCTCAAATGGAATAGAGGCCAAAGGAAACACTTTTCATAAGGACAATATTCTCAGTGGAAAATAGTACAAATAAACACTGCTGATGGTGAGGTAGCTAGATTCTTCTGGGTAACAGATATTGTTTTCCAAATCACACATTGCTCTGTTTGTGGAGTGGCAGATGTTTAAGATTATTGTTTCATTAAGTTTCTGGACAATTGAGCTGTTTTACGAAATTACTTTCATGGATATTCAAAGTCTCCACTGTGATGGATGATAGCACAAAAAGAAAAGAAGAGAAAAACACTGGTTGCCTGGAAAAAGTCACACAATAATCTCACAATTGTTGGTTATATTTAACTCTACTGACATCGTATTGGAGCAAAACCTAGAAAGGACATATTAAAGGACAGACAGACGTACCTGTATGAAGGTGTGGTAAGACAAGATGCAAGAAACAGACAAAGGGACAGACAGGAAAGAGAATGGCTACTATACAAAGGTGGTGGGAGTTTTATAGAGGGAGGTGGAAGGGCACTGTGTGTGGGGGTGTATGTGGGTGTGGAATGACTATGTGCTTATGCATACTGTGAGAATTACTGAATGTCCAAGTATACAGTACAAGAATAACTGTGAATCTACGTGTGCAAATGTGCTCATTCACACGTGTGTGTGTGTGAGGGAGAGAAATCAGGGCTGAGGGCCACATACAGATTAAATGGAGGGTGAAAGATGAGCACCTTGCAGGATTAGGGAGAACAGAGGAATGACCTCACTGGACAAATGCAAGGGTGCCACAGGGCAGGTGGAGAGAGGGATGACAATGTGACGAGGGAGGGTGTGATGAACGGATCCAACCGCTGCTCAGAGGCTATATGCACATAAATCATTTCTAATAGCAGCAGTGTGTATTTTCAGTGTAATAATTATTTGTTTCTGCATTCTCATAAATACTTGCTCATGGCCCCTCAGACCAGAAAGAAGAGCTTTGGGACGGTCTTCAGAGGACAGGAGCAAGCTATCAAATAAAGAAATTAGGATGTACCCTGCCTCAGCAGTTGTTGCTACTAAGAAGATGACATTCACAGCTACACTGATTCTCCAGCTTGCATAGCTCTACTGAAAGGTAAAGAAAACCTGCCTACACTCTAAAGCTCACTACTTACTATGTTATATCTCAATTGTTTAACTCATACAACTAAAGCATAAAAACTGATGAATGTTATTTGTTACTAGCAATTTCCCCTAGTTTGCAGCCTTAATGCTAAGCTAAGCAAAATGCCTGTGGCCGGTATCTCCTCATATAAATCATACATACATGAGAGTTACATTTAAAGCACTTTTCAAATATTGTTTTAGTAGAAACACCCTCCAAAACTTATCATAATGGGGAAGAGTTGCTGCAGATGGTTCCTGTGACCCAGACCATTTGGCATTCTTTCCGCTTGACTGGTGTGTTGTGAATGTATTATTTATAGTAGTTTGATAAGGATTCAACCCATTATCTTTTGTACTTGTAGCTAAATCAGAACATTTCATTTGCTCTCAGGGCTCTATTTTCCTGCAACAGGAAGCAGCGCTAAACTCGTGTCAGCCCCAGGTTCAGGGACATATGGGCGTCCTCAACAATGTTTTAACATCTGCGCGTAGCCACGCATTCCCGGGCGCATTGTGGAGAAGAGGCGGAATACATTATTAGAGGGAGAAAAACATGGTAAGCAGGTGGAGTCGGGGCTGGCTTTAGTTGTGTCCAATCTAACGGGCTCCTCTCGCCCCTTTAAAGAGCAGGGCAGAAACTGACAGACAAACAAATAAAGAAGTTTCTTTTCCTGTATCTTCTCCTCTGCCAGTTATTGTATGTACTCCATTCCCAGACTGACAGTGACAAAACTATTTATGTAGAAGTACTACACATAAATATTCACTCAGTAACCTGCTAATATCACTGACCAGCTTTTGTGCATGGAAGAAAGTCTCTGATCCTGTTAACCAGTGTAATTTACTCACAGCTGCATTCAGTGTGCGAAATCCAAAAGGGTCTCACATGTAACTTTTTAAATGTTTCAGTGTTTTCAAAATAATACAATAAAATTATATTGTTAATGCTGCATTTATGGTGAAACTAATGGTCCATCAGAGTGCTCAGCCAATGGATGTGCCGCCTACTTTATTTCCACCTACAGCTGCTTTCAGAGTTGATCAAAACCTTCATAAAATGCAATCCCCAAAATACATTTGGGTACCGGATCGTGTGCTTCCCAGATGTTCTTATCAGGAAACTTGTTCACCAGACATCATGGGAATATGGCTGAGATGAAGCAGTTCTGTGAGAAAAAATGGTCCAAAATTCCTCCTGAGAATGACAGAAGGCCGCCCCCAAGAGCTGGGGTCAGAGGTTTCCTCCATTAAACAGTTTTTCCTCCCTGCTGTTGCCAGGTGCTTGATCAAGGGGGATTTGTTGGCCTTTTCCACTATAATAGTAAGGTCTAGACCTGACTTTATAAAGTAAACTTTTGTTGTGATTTGGCGGTATACAAATAAAACTGTATTGAATTATCTACATCAACAGGAAAGCTTGTTTTGAAGTTAATTCAATCTTAAGGTTCACTTACTTTTTCCATCGGCACTATGAATGTTTAAGGCCAGGTTCAATAAAGACACAAAAAATTATGTTTGTGTCATATTAGCTTAAGCACATTGAGTTTGTCTATATTAATGACTCAGATGAAGATTTGGTCAGATTTTATGACCAAATCATGTAGAAAATCAGGTAATATCCATGGTTCATTTATTGTCACTGTATCTACTACATTTTTCAAAGCTAAAATTCACAAACATGTCCAGCTGGAATATTGTTGTTGTTTTGTGTTATGTAACATATGATGCCTGTTAATTATTGGACACACCTGTTGCCTCTTTGTCAATTTGATCCTTGAATGCAATTGACCACATGACCATGTTCTTAATTTGCCTATGTGCATGTCTTTTATTGGCCTACATGTGAGTTTGTGTGCAACTGGTTGTTTTTAAATGAATGTTCTGTACCTGTATGATTTATGAAACTTACTGTTGTGTGTTTTACGTACACCCTGATGATGGCTTTATGCAGAAAGACATTGCTCTTTTATTGATGCATTAAAGCTGCTCAGAACACTGCACATGTCAGGTTTTCTGCTTTTCAGTTTGTTTTCCCTGTTTTTGTGCATGTTGACAATGGTCCAAGCTGCACCAGTAACATCTGCTGTATCTGAATCTGCGACAACCACAGACCTGTTCTTACATGAAGAAACACACTGTGGACTGCTCAAGGCTCTGCTGTAACAAAGAGTGACTGACTTTATTGAAATACCTTTATTATCACATCATCATTTCACACACACACATACAAACAAAACACCTGTTCTATAGTTTCATGAAGACACCACAGGCATAGTAACTGTAAGGACCTGAACAAGAGAAAACAGAAGAAAAAGGTGCAGCATGTTAACCAACAATGCATGTGTGAATGTTTAGCACATTACTTTTATGTGTTATTGCTTTGATTCTTGTACACTGTGTGGGACTGTTACATTTATATATGGATTCCACTGCAATCGGAAAAACTGGAGCATTGTCCTGAAAATATTATCCGATAATCACAGCCTCACACCCAATGACAATAATTCACTTTATTCTGCAAGAACACAGAACATTTTTGGCCATCTGGCCTTTATCAGTGTCTGTTATGTGTATACACAATCATAAAATGTACTGCCGCTGTCACACCCTTGTCCTGTCCTACTCGATGACTAGAAAAAGGTGTGTAGTCTCGGTATGTTACACAGTGGCATGTGATGTCTACACACTATTTCAAAAACCTCCAAAACGACAAATAATCCTCTTCAAAATACTTATCGCAACTTGCTGCACTGTGCAAAAAACGCCAAAGTGCAAGTACATGTGCATTAGATGATAAAGAAAGTTGACATTAGACATTCAGTAATAAGAGAATTTGCAGCTTCTTAGTGAAACAGAGCTTCAGTGAGATACAGGGGTATACCAAAAACCACAGACTGAAAAGTCTTAAAATACAAAATCCAACAACATTCTGTCCTCATTCTGTCCACATCCTCACCTCTTCTGGGGGTTTTCACACATTGTAGAGCTGTGAGGGACAGCTCTACAGGTGTAGCAATGTCTAGTCACATCAGCTTTTTCATCACTGGTTGGAGTTAGTGTTCCAGTGTTTCTTGTGAAGTTTTGTCTAGAGTCCTTCTCCAGCAAAGCCGACAGTGTGTTTGTGTGTACAAGACTTCTGCTGGCCGCACATGCGCGTGAATGGGATAATATAAAATAATCTAAACTTAAACTTTCCAAATGATATGGGACAAAGTGGATCAAATTCTGATTATAAAGTCATTTTGAGGGATTTGTGATGCTCAGAAAACTGTATTCACTGTTTCACAAAGTCTTTGGGGGTCTGGTATGTGGGTGTGACCTATAGTACATCCCAACTCCCTTAACTGCACTTATGTTTCCTTCACAAACAATGATTTGGAAGATGGAGGGAGCAAGAATTACTTGGCTCGTACTGGAGCCTTTTGACTTGGTGCAGCACAGTTCAGTGAAATGCACTTCTTATAACCAAACATCTGGTGTTGGATCAACACATCATCAGGTACCTCTACACTAAGCATCCCAAGGCTTTAAATAATAGGCGTACTATAAGGCAACTGTTTCAATCAGCTCAATGCTATGGAAAGACTCTCTTCTCCCATCACTAGCCCAGAGCAGGAACAAGAGCTCTGGGAAGTACTTCATGAGGGCAGACTGAAACAACTTCCAGATCTAGTGAGGACTGAAAAGCAATGAACGGTCAAAAAGGGATTTGGGGGTTACCTGTAGAGAGGGCATCTTGTGTTCGACTTTACTGCAACAGTGTGCGGACCACAGCTGTTACTATGTAATGAACAAACAATCATATCCAAGCCCAATTTTTGTGGTATTTGCAGTGTGTCAGTTCTCTAGTACACAGGTTTTTTTGTTCCCCCATTGAGCTGGTGTTACACAGTGTGATGGTGTGTGTGTGTGTGTGCTTGTTTTGCTGTGATTCAGATTTAGTGTCAGTGTGTGTTTTTTCCCCATTTGGTTTTCTAGTGTTTTAGTGCCATAGTGTACACGCATTGTGCATCATAGCTACAAGTGGTACAACTATTAGCATCATAACGTGTGTTTTATTCAAGTGTCAGTGTACAGTGCTGTTTTCACAGTTTGAACCTGTTTGTGTATAGTATAAACTTTCTGTATGTCTGTATTTTGTACCTGAGTGCTCTTGTTGTACTGTGCCACACTGTTCTGCTGATCGATGAGGAAGGGGTGGAAAATATCAAGATGGAAGAGGGAGGGCCGAGCTGTCAGCACCAGTCGGTCCTCTCCGACATCAAGGACCAGAGAACGAGATGATGGCTACACAGGAGACATAAACACCCAGGTAGGATTCTACTGCACTGAGCTTTCCACCATGTCTGCACATATCAGTAATCTATTGTACATGGTGTTTTGAGATAACACGCTGCATGACATAAAATTGAGCTTTTTTTTTTTTTTTTTTTACATTTTTCTTCAGATCAACACTGTGGGTTGGGAACCCTTCATCTGAACTGAAAGTAAGTTAACAATTACATGGGACTCCCAAATTGCACAAAAACTATGGGGTGAGGGGGTGTTATAGTCGAAATGCGATGCTAGTCATTAATAATGAATGAAAAACAATGACAAATTGTTGCCTTAAATACAGTAGAGCATGGACCGAGATGCATTTTTCCATCCAAACCCAACCCAGACCCTACAAGCTCATAGAATATACTGTAGTGTCCAAACCTGACCCGAGCACGATGCAGTTGATTTCGTACGGCGTTTTCCCCTTATCATTAAATGAAGCAGACATTTGAAGACTCCAGCCATCTAGCCTCAAGTCTGACCTATGTGGCCAAACCCCAATCTAACCCGAACATGATTTCTGAATTTCTGTCCAACCTGGTCTGAACCGCGCTTACCTGAGTGGAACTGTCCGGCATAGTGGACACATTTATTTGATTTAAAAAAGCACTCAGCAGATGTAGACAGTTGACAGAAAAGAGGGACTTACAAACATACCCTGATTTGGCATTCCGCTTGTTTTACTTGTATGTTTTGTAGGTATTATTTATAGTAGTACAATAAGGATTCAAACCATTACCCTTTGTGCTTGTAGGTAAATCAAATAGAAAATACAGAAAAATGTACAAATCTAAATGTATACCCATGATTACTTAGTAGTTAGCCTTGGCAGCTATTAGCTAACTCAGCTGTTCAGTGTATGTACAGTGCCTTGCGAAAGTATTCGGCCCCCTTGAACTTTGCGACCTTTTGCCACATTTCAGGCTTCAAACATAAAGATATAAAACTGTAATTTTTTGTGAAGAATCAACAACAAGTGGGACACAATCATGAAGTGGAACGAAATTTATTGGATATGTCAAACTTTTTTAACAAATAAAAAACTGAAAAATTGGCCGTGCAAAATTATTCAGCCCCCTTAAGTTAATACTTTGTAGCGCCACCTTTTGCTCCGATTACAGCTGTAAGTCGCTTGGGGTATGTCTCTATCAGTTTTGCACATCGAGAGACGGAAATTTTTGCCCATTCCTCCTTGCAAAACAGCTCAAGCTCAGTGAGGTTGGATGGAGAGCATTTGTGAACAGCAGTTTTCAGTTCTTTCCACAGATTCTCAATTGGATTCAGGTCTGGACTTTGACTTGGCCATTCTAACACCTGGATATGTTTATTTGTGAACCATTCCATTGTAGATTTTGCTTTATGTTTTGAATCATTGTCTTGTTGGAAGACAAATCTCAGTATACGACTGATTGTTGTCCTATGGACAGAGTCTCCCACCTCAGCTGTAGATCTCTGCAGTTCATCCAGAGTGATCATGGGCCTCTTGGCTGCATCTCTGATCAGTCTTCTCCTTGTATGAGCTGAAAGTTTAGAGGGACGGCCAGGTCTTGGTAGATGTGCAGTGGTGTGATACTCCTTCCATTTCAATATTATCGCGTGCACAGTGCTCCTTGGGATGTTTAAAGCTTGGGAAATCTTTTTGTATCCAAATCCGACTTTAAACTTCTCCACAACAGTATCTCAGACCTGCCTGGTGTGTTCCTTGTTCTTCATGATGCTCACTGCGCTTTAAACGGACCTCTGAGACTATCACAGTGCAGGTGCATTTATACGGAGACTTGATTACACACAGGTGGATTCTATTTATCATCAGTAGTCATTTAGGTCAACATTGGATCATTCAGAGATCCTCACTGAACTTCTGGAGAGAGTTTGCTGCACTGAAAGTAAAGGGGCGGAATAATTTTGCACGCCCAATTTTTCAGTTTTTTATTTGTTAAAAAAGTTTGAAATATCCAATAAATTTCGTTCCACTTCATGATTGTGTCCCACTTGTTGTTGATTCTTCACAAAAAATTACAGTTTTATATCTTTATGTTTGAAGCCTGAAATGTGGCAAAAAGTCGCAAAGTTCAAGGGGGCCGAATACTTTCGCAAGGCACTGTATAAGCTCTTTAAACATTACCAATTTGGTTGCATGTCTCATTGTTCCAATATGTGTTACTGGTTTTAATTATATCTTTTCCCATTCTATCCTGCTTGCAACTCACATTTCCCTAACAGGGTAGTACGAGTTGGGGCAGATTTTTTTGGAGGCAAGTTGAGGATGAAACAAGACAGAACAGAGGAACAGGGCAGAGACCGAAGTGCTGTATGTTTGTGGTGTAATGTATGTCTCACCACCCCTGGTAGCTTTATCTCTCCAATGAGGTACTCAGGGTCACCAGTAGAAGGCTCCACAAGCAAAGTGAACTCTGGTCTAGAGACAGTGAGACATTACCAGAAAGAGGAGAGATGAATGAATGGAGAGAAAATAGGAGGAAGAGGGTATAAAATAACAGCAGACAAGGAGAAAGAAAAGGGGAAAATTAAATGGACAGAGAGTAGAGCAGATTTACCGTTTTGCTGTAGCAGTGGAGCTCTCCCTGTAAGAAGAGGGACAGACAATGGGAGATTTCAGAAGCCCACAAATCTTAAACTCACTGTAAAATCACCCAGTCTCCTGTTTTCTTTCTCCTGTAAATCAGAGAATTAGAGAAATATACAGTATGTCTCAGATGTTAAGCCAGTGGACCAATGTTGCTTTTCCACTACTGGAACCTACTGAGGCATATACCCCGTACTTCGGCCCACATAGCCAGGTTGGTGCAGAAGTGAAGTCTGCACTGCTTTGCCTATGGTCCACTCACTGGAGTCCCCATCTTACCCCTAAACCAACAAGTGAAGTCCTTACTTCTAAACCTGCATACGTGTCCCTTTACACACTGTGCTTGTAATACTAATGCTTGAGGTTTGATTTGATTTGATTTATTCTTTCAAGCATGTAAAGACAGTTGATATGTCAACACACATAATTTTACACATATCCAACAAATGCTAATCCAATATCAATTTGCTTATACCTAGTACATGCTTGAATGGAGTAGGAAGAAGTCAGACTTATCTAGTCCTACCCCATGACATCATCTTACCATCATTGGTTTGCAAGCAGTATCTCTACATAGATAATTCTCTTCTACACCACACAAGTAATATACTAAAAAATTATAACAGTGTTAACATTCTTACATAATTACATTCTTAAATAATTCTCTTCTACACGACACAAGTAATATGCTAAAAAATTATTAGAGTGTTAACAATCATACACCACACCCACAATGTTCCATCTAAATTAATCATTAAGCCTGTAAGCCTGCTTGAAGAGCAGACATTTAACCAGTCACACATGACTGCATGCACATGCTGAGCAGTCATCTGTGACTGCATGAGGATTTAAGAAGCATGTGATGGGCTCTGCATGTATGTTTTCTGTTAATCAGTCCACACAGCAGGACATACTGAGGCTGCAGCTCCTGAATCATTGGCCTGTTTTTCGTCCGGATGTTGTGCTCGCCGAGAGAACCCAAGAACTTTCTGTTCTTGAGCACCTTCCAGTCTGCGGAAACACAGAAGAAAACCTCAACAACTGCTGTCAAGCTGAAGAAAGGTTACACACACGCACACACTTACCTCTACTTAGCTCCAAGGCGTATTTGTGTTCCAAACCCTCTAAAGAGACCAGAATAACAAACTGCTGGAACAAGGGATCCTTCTATAAGGCATAAACATATTTCATATAATTACATGAGGACGTTTGGTATTTTTTCCAATTCACCAGTTGAGGCTGCCCACTAAGAGCGGAGGTCTGTCTGAGGTTTCTTCTGTTAAAAGGAGTTTTTCCTCTCTACTGTGCATGCTCAAGCGGGATTTGTTGGGTTTTTCCTCAATAATAATAATAATAATAATAATAATAATAATAAAGTCTCAAAGTCAAGGAGGATTTGTTGGGTTTTTCCTTTATTATAATAATAATAATAATAAAGTCTAGACCTTACTGTGTAAAATGTTTTGAGATGACTATACAAATAAAACTGATTTGATTTGAATGCATACCTCTCCCACCATGTCTGGGTGTCAGTATCACAGTCATCATCAATGATTAACTCCTTACTCACCACTGTATCTTATAGGACAAGGTGAAATGGACCTCCAAACAAAGAACATCGCATTGTGCTATTCATGTATAAAGGTCTACTACAACAAAATAAAAAACCAACAAACTGTGTAATTATATGTGCTCTGTGGACCCTGATAAACACAGTACTGAGAGTGTCAGGTCAGTGTTCTCTCACATTACTATGATCTGCTTCTGTTTTCAGGGCCCCATCTAGCAAAACAAACAGTTTCAAGAATTCCTTCATCACTTGGGCCATCTCTCTACTAATCTCGGCACAACAATTTGCCCTTCGAGGAAAAATAAAGTGAGCGAATAAATCATACATCCCAACAATCATGACATGCATCATCCCAAGTGAGTAGTGTACAATGTCTCTACTAGTTACTCCTTTCTCTAATAAAATCAAACTGTCACATTGATGACACAAATCAGGAGCACATGCACACACAAACACACCTGGCATCTCTGGAAGAACTCCTGGTTGATGACCACATCAAAAGCTGTGCAACTCTGAGAGCCTGAAAGAGAAAGAAAGAGACATAAGAATTCAATGCACTGATTATGTCACTTACAGCAAAAATATCAGTGTTCGTGCCAACCAGAAGCCATGGATGACAGGTGAGGTTCACAGACTCCTGAGGGCTTGGGATGCAGTCTTTAGAGCCAGCGACACCGCAGGCCCAGCAACAGCAAGAGCCAACCTGCCCCGTGGAATCAGGGAGGCAAAACGCCAATACAGCAAGAAAATATCTGGACACTTCAGCAACACTAGAGATGCACAGAGTCTCTGGTGGGGCATCCAAACCCTCACAGGATATAAACCCCCACCTTGGAACTGTGATAGTGACATCTCTGCTGAACAGCCTCAATGACTTCTTTCTTTCAACACAATCATTCCCCAGCAGCTTACACATATACTTGGACACCTGGGACTCAAAACCTCTCTCTGCAACTGGGTGCTGGACTTCTAACAGGGAGGCAACAAAATGTGCGGGTCAGCAGCAACATTTCCAAGACCATCATGATGAGCACAGGGGATCCACAGGGGTGTGTGCTCAGCCCATTGCTCTTCACGCTGCTGACCCACGACTGTGTGCCAACCTACAGCACCAACCACAATGTCAAGTTTGCAGATGACATGACTGTAGTTGGCCTCATTACCAACACTGATGAGGCCAACTACAGGAGTGAGGTGTGCCAACTGGTCCAGTGGTGTAAGGACAACAACCTCTTCCTCAATGTGGGGAAGACTAGAGATCATTGTGGACTTCAGGAGAAAACCTCTAAAGCATCCACCACTGACCATCGACGGTGCTGTAGTGGAGAGAGTGAGCAGTACCAAGTTCCTGGGGGTGCACATCTCTGAGGACCTCTCCTGGACCAACACCACATCACTGGCCAAGAAAGCTCAAACACGCCTCTACTTCCTCTACAGACTGAGGAGAGCCAGCTGCTTCCTGCAGAAGGACCCTGCAACGCATAGCAAATACAGCCAGCAAGATCATCGGTACCCCTCGCCTTACCGACATCTTCAACACCCACCTCACCTGCAGAGCCATCAGCATTGCTGATGACACCTCCCACCCCTCACACTCCCACTTCTGACTCCTGCCTTCAGGGAGAAGGTATCGGAGTCTTCAGGCCCACTCCACTAGACTTACAAACAGCTTCATCCATCAGGCTGTGAGGATGCTGAACACTGTTCACTACCTCCCCCTCTCTGCCCCTGGACTGTAACCCACCACTGAACATAACAAGACTACCTCTGCTGTTTGCTCAAACTAAATACATTCCCCCTTTTTGTTACATTATAAGTAAATCTGCTGCTGACCGTTTTTTTTTTACCGTCATATCTGCTACTGTTGGTCATTTGCACTACTGTCCATGTACATTTCATAAGCTATTATGCATCCCATCACCAACGTCCCTGGTGATGCTGACCACCTGATAATCTTGTTATTATTTGCACTACTGTCACTGTTTGCACATGGCTTCAGGTTTCTTCATAGCCTATTAGGTTGTACCATTTAGTTTATCCTAAATACTTTAATTCAGTCTTCATATTGTATGTATTCTGAGTTTATTCTACTTTTATTCTATTTTAGCTTCTTAAATGGTATGGGCATTCAATATTAGGAGAGAGAGAAACAGTATTTTGATTTTTCTGTATGTCCTGCACATATAGTGAATTGACAAAAAAAAAATCTTGAATCAATCTGTCAAAAAAAATGCTGTAAATAAAAAAAACAAGAAGCTGAATTTTATAAACTGCCTGTAATAGAAGAAAAATACAGCTTCAAAAGCTTCCAAATAAAAAACACAATCTTGGGTTTGGTTACATACTGTTGTCTATTTCGCTGTGTGGCTCGCCCAGACTCATGGGTACTCTGTAGCCACTAGGATCTTGAGCAGCTCTACAAGCTCCTCTCTCGAAAGGTCTGGCGGAGGTGGAACTGAGTTTGACTGGCAGATGTTCACAAATACCTTGTCCTTGCCTGGCTCAGAGAGAGTCTTCACACACATGCCTGGAGTGGGGAGAGCGAGAGAGAGAGAGAGAAATAATAATAAAAAAAAAATACAAAGATTAGCAAAAAGGAAAAATGAGAGAGAAGTCAACAAATACAAGAATAAACTTCGGCATTGTCTTTTAAAGTAGGCAATGCTGCATAACTTTACGTGTGTGTGTGTGTGTGTGTGTGTGTGTGTGTGTGTGTGTGATATGACCTGTGTTGTTAAGATACTTACCGGGTTGCGGTTGGATTACTTTAGACTCTGGATTTTCGGTCTGCATCTTTTCCATTGTCTAAAGAGTTAACCAGTAGCAAATTCACTGGTAAGATTTACACATATTCAATTATCAAAAGAAACAATCAAGAAAAGAAATTATCAAACATCAAAAGAAAAAGCTATTGTAGCGTAAAATGCTTGTGCAATACATTAAAAGCATGTGATTCGATTCCTGGCCGATCCACTCCACGTGTCAAAGTGTCCTTGAGCAAGACACTGAACCCCCGGTTGCTCCCGGTGATGTCACCGGTGCGTGAATGCTTGGGAGTGCGAACGGGTGAATGGCCAAATAGTGTGAAAGCGCTTTGAGTGTGTTGCAATGCACAGAAAAGTGCTATACAAGTATAAGGGCATTTACCATGATGTAAAACAAAATGCACACCAGTGTTCTCATAATGAGGCAATGCTAGAAGGACAAACTACAGAAGAGGTGTTTGTGGATTTGAAAAGGTTTTCCTACTTGGAGCCTTTTTGCATGGTGCAGTATTATTTTCTTTACTCTCTGGACTTTTATAGGAGATCACATCCCCACTGGAATCCAGCAGAGTACAAAAGTGCTGCAGATGCATTTCAAACAAGCCTGGTTAATCCTATCAGACATCCTATCTCCACTAAACATTTCTAATACATAAAGTATCTATCCAATATCTATCTGACTAAAAATACCTAACAAAAGACTAGGTAATTTTGAAAGAAGAAATAACACATTCTACAGGTTACAAACTGATAAGCAAAATGCTAAGCAATAACATGAGCTCTGGCTCTATTCTATACACTCCAGGGTTTTATTGTTACAACCTCACTTAGTCTGGTATGATTAGTAGCTTATCGTGGCTAATATTAGCTAAGGTTTTGGAGGATTATGCTGGGTAAGTGGGTTTGCTTACTTAATGTCTATCCTCCACTTTTGCTTGGTCATAGTGACAGCAGAATCAAGATCAAGATCAAAGATTCTTATTGTCAATTCACTATATGTGCAGGACATACAGCAACTAAAACAGGAAACTAAAACAAAATAAAGTAGAGTAAAAACTGAATAAAATGAATAAGAAAACTAAATCAAAATGATTAGGATAAAATTAAACTGTACAATCACTTTGATTTAGTTTAGATAAAAAGATGGCAGAGGCGCAAACAGACGGGGCAGCCCTTCTCTCTGCAAGAATTTACCCTTAGTATCACTTTAACTCAGTTCACTTTAGAGCAATATTACCTGTAACAGCAGCTGTTGATAGAGCTCCTCTTGCTGGTGCAGCTCCAGCTCGGAGTTGAGGAGTGAGGAGTCTGTTGACATGGCTGTCGGCAAAAGTCTGTCAGTGATCCAGCATTCAAATATAAAATGGGCTGATTCAGGACTGATGAGGCCTGCCAATACAAATGTTCCTTCACCCATATACTGCATGCTTTGCAAGCCCACTGTAGCTGTTTAATGGTGGTGTCAGGCAGTTTTTGTCAGATCATGGACAAACAGAAACATGATGCATATAATAAGCATTCATATTTAGTCCTTGGTAAATATATAGTGCCTATAAAAAGTATTCACCCTGTTAGAAATTAATAAATTAGTCAGATAACTATTAGACATTAATGTCTTAGACTTTAATGTATTAGTAATACAATTTAGTAAGATTCAAAGCCTGCTCGTTAGAAATTAAGAAATTAATTCTTTTGTTGGAAGCAGGAGAAGTGAAGACAGGAGAGGACTGTTTAAAATCAACAGAAAGTTTACTGAAAGTCTGAGCACAGTGAAGTCATTACAGCGCTGGGATCAGAGAGACAGAGCTCCCGCAGGAGATCCGACTTCTCTGAACCCCAAATTAAGTTCTTACAATACATTTTATCCTCTTGGGCTGCTCCACCCTGGACAGGGGTGCAACCTTCAATAGTTTGTGATCCTACTGGTCATTTGGTGTGAGACAGAGCTCGCACTTCCATGTTGAAATATGGTAAATCTAGGTAAATAAAATATAAATATGTAATGTGAAATAAGTGTTCACATAAATATTCACTTTAAAAATGACTGACCTAATTCAACAGAGGTCCAACCAACTGGTACTAGTAGTCTCACAATTAGTGAAATGGGGATCACCCGAGTGCAGTGAATGTGTCTCAAGTGACTGTAGTATAAAGACACTGTCTGGAAGATCCAGTCACTGGTTAATCAGTATTCCTGGCTACCATTACACCATGAAGACAAAAGAACACTCCAAGCAACTCAAGAGAAAGGGTTATTGAAAAGTACAAGTCAGGTCAAAGGTCAAAGCGTTTTTGTCATATGCACAGTTAGGAAATGTGTTTCCCTGTACAATGAAATTCTTACTTTGCTGTCCACATGAATGCCACACAATACAAGTGAAATATAAAGTAGATGAGCAATAACACAAATCTAAATAGTCAGTAAAATCACAACATTTTTTGTTATTTTTTGTCAAAAAAGCCAAATTATATTGACCATGACTGATTTATAAAATCAATAAAGGGGTAAAACATCCAAGGTGGTGAATACTTCTTATAGGCACTGTATTATTTAAACAAGGCCACTGTATAAGCCACTGCAGTCACATCAGGGGAGGAGGTGTGCAATGGGTTGCTTGAGGCTCTAAGCCACATCCTCTAGAATCCAGCTCCTACACTGGGACCTGTCCAATGAAGCTCATCATGTTGTTTACTGGAGTAACTTCGCTCAATTCTCCAGTGAAGGACAGAGAGCCAAAACCCACCTGAATGTACAGGCAGGTGATAAATGAAACGAGAAACCAGCAGAGCTCCTGTAACAGCCCAATCATTTATTCAGCTTTATCCTGTGTATGCTATTGTCTTAACAGCCCTGTAAATCCTACTATTGGACAGCTAGACACATGGACAGCTGTTTTTCAGTATGCACTCTATACATTCCATGATCACAACAAACTACAAACAGTTTTAGTGAACTGGCTAAAATTAACTTAGCACCAGGTCTGACACTAGACGTGGTAACACACATTCTTTATCTTAAGGTAGGACTCACAGTATATGAGAGATTAAGTTATCTAATCGTCATTTAATGATCCCAGGAGTTTGGCTTCAACACATACCCAAAACATGTACGCAACTTACATAAAATTGCATCCAGGTTTCTTTATAAACAGGTGAGTAGGACCATGGGCCGCACCATAACGTCAGAAACACCCATGGCAAATATTAGCCCACGGTGTGCGACACGAAAGTAGCTATTTCAAGTGCAGCAATAGATGAGAGTAACTTGTTTTCTCTTTCCTATCAAAGCTGATACGGGTAATAACTAGTGTATACCGTGTGAAGGTCGCCGTATTGGTTAATTGTGTCATTGGGTGATCTGTCCATGCAGTTTTCCATCTAGAAGACGTTAGCTTAGCCTTAACTTCAGCTTACACGCTAGTGTTGACCAGCCGACTGGCTTCGCTCTAAATTCTCTAATTAAAATAATCTCTCTCTCTGCTGTGTTTAACTTTATTGCGCTTGCTGTCTTGTTCCTCTCACTGCTAAAACTCGCAAATAAACATTTGTGTACCTTTTCCACGCGTTCCGGTCTCTACTGTGACAGGGGACCTGGTGTCCAACGTAGGAACGATACTTCCGATTTGTGTCTTTCAGAATAAAAGCGTCCGAAAAATCTAAACTGAACAAAATCCTAGTTTTACACTTTAAAAGACTATACTTATATTCTCGCTACTAACTTCAAATTGTAACATTTTATCAATATGTCAGCACTCAGGCTTGGCCTAAATCATATTGTGGCGACCGCTGGCTGGGTTGAGGAGAGCTGGTCCGATCCTAACCTAACTGTGCAGCTAACTATCCAGCTGTGTGCTGGCACCTAGACTGACAATGAGGAGAACACCGACTCTGTCTTTTCTTGGCTTTATTCAAGCATGCAAAAGCAAGAAAGAAAAGGTTGCAAAACGCAGCACTATGTGCTCACCGGAAAAAGTAACAAAACAGAACATCACAAGTCTCTCCCCGAACTTCACCATCGCCCGCCAACAGAACCAACACGCACGCCCACCTGTCATCCCTCTTATACCCTCCCGCACCTGTTCCTCCCTCCATCCCACATTGGCCAGAACAGCGCGGCATTTCGCAGAAAACAGCGGTAACAAATACAAGCACGTTATTCGAGCATTACGGTTGCACCCACTTAACACATAACAGAACATAAACATAAACATAAGCGGCTGGTCAGGGCCGCCACAATATATTCTGCTCTATGAGTCCCTATGTTCATTCCAAATGCGTTATGCAATGGGAAATCGGATCATGAAAAAAGGCTTCATTTAATTTTTTTTACATTAAAATACAAAAAGCAAATAAGCAAAAGAGCCACTTTTGCTTATATTTAACTATACATGTAAATCACAGAATAAACTGATTTCTTTTTTTTTTCCTTTTTTTTTTACACTGAAACCAATCGTTTGATTCAATTGTGTGGTTAACATGCTCATTTTCCTTTTTCTGTCTTTATGTGGAATTGTTGTGGCAAAATTATCTATTATAGCTAGATGAGTGTAAAATAAATACTTAACACCAATTATTAAAGTTATGAATGCGTTTATTCCAGTTGGCAGGAACCATCTAAATCACAGAGTGTCTAAGACAGTCTTGTGGAAAGAAGTTCAATGAACAGAATGTGACCTGCTTTCTTATACTCTGGATACAACAACAGAAAACTGATGGACACAAAAGCCTTTGGCAAGCAGGATGTGAAGAGTTTTAAATGACATCTGTTGAGAGGTGAAGCAGTGGCAGGCTAAATACCTGACAGATCAACAATGGCTATGTATTTATTTATGCAGTTTCATATCAAGCCTGGTCAGCTCAAATACAGCAGCAAACTGATATGATGACTGCTTGTATGAGAAATGTAGTCCATATTATTTTCATACACAATATTCGAGTAATTGTGGAGATCAACACAGATCAGCATGTTATCACTCTCCTTTCCATATAGAGGAACGTCAGCTGTTTGGACCCTGAGCAGAAACTGAAAGGTTTGATTTAATGTCATTTTATTAATTCACGATTAGAGAGAACACTGATTCTAAACACATGGGTGGATTCATCACATAAATACACGTGCACATACACTTTTAATCCTATTCTTGCATAGCCAGACCTCAGCTTCATCCACCTGCTCACATTATATTAGAATATTCCTGAAAATACTGTCAGACAAATGGTATCCAAGATGCATTCACAAAAACACATTTTGAAAGTAAAATTAACAAACCAGGTATAGCCTATCATACTATGACCACTTTAATCATTTTTTTCTCACCTTTTTCACACAAAAGATGTAAATTATGTGGAAACACACTGAACATATTTATGAAATATCTGATGCTTCTTTAATTAAAAGTCAACTATTTTAATAATCATTTACATTTTTATGCCTCTGCACAGACGACAGCCATGGCTGGAATTAATTATTCAACATAGTGTCAGCCTGTACACTTGACAATCCATTTTTCATAGTCATTACTACTGTTATTCTCATCACCTCATGGAAAATAAGGCAAATACACCCAAAGTGAGTGCCCCAGAGCTAATTTAGAGTAATCTGAGTTGGCCGTCTCTGCTAGGCTTGCTCCCTCCCAAGAATCGCAAATGCACTCCTGGCTGGTGTCTCATCTACCACAAAATAGAGATACTGTATGACAACAACCCTACCTACAGTATAGATGAAACTGCTAATTGTATTCCCACATCTGTGATGTTAATACTTTGCAGGAGTGGGATAAATTCTCCTGCTGGGAGGCCTCGCACCTGTCTGGGAAAACTAATAATCATACAAAATACAAAACTTATAGCAAGATTATACTGTGGGCTGAATGTCTTAAGGTTAACGTTCTTTGTAATAAAGTAACAGAGGAAGTAACTGAGCTCTGCAGTGAAAATTGGTCCTTAGTTGATTATTTGAAAGCAGAGTCGAGGAAACCCACATCCAGTACCCGGACATTAAGCACAGGTGCCCCCCTGGGATGTGTGCTCTTCCCTCTGCTGTTTTCACTCTACACCAACAACTGCATCTCGAAGGACCCCTGTGTCAAGCTCCTAGTGTTTGCAGATGACACAACGGTCATTGGTCTCATCCGAGACGGTGACGAGTCATCCTACAGACAGGAGGTTGAGCAGCTGGTCCTGTGACAACAACCTGGAGCTGAACATGCTCAAAACACACACACACACACCTTACCCCCTCCTACAAGTTCCTGGGCTCCACTATCTCCCAGGACCTGAAGTGGACATCCAACATCAGGACCATCATCAAGAAGGCACAGCAGAGGATGTACTTCCTGCGCCAGCTCAGGAAGTTTGACCTGCCTCAGGAGCTGCTGATACAGTTCTACAACGGAATCATCGACCTCCATCACTGTCTGGTTTGGCTCAGCAACCATACAGGACAAAGACAGACTTCAGCAGACAGCGAGGACTGCAGAAAAGATCATTGGTGTGAGCCTGCCCTAAATGGAGGACCTGTACACCTCACGGGTCAAAAGGTCTCAGTTTACCAGTCAGTCTAACCCTCACCTATGGTCATGAGCTGTGGGTAGTGACCGAAAGAATAAGAATGTGAATACAAGTGGCCGAAATGAGTTTCCTTTGAAGGGTGGTTGGACTTACCCTCAGATATAGGGTGTGGAATTTGGAGTAGAAGTTGCAAAATGCCAAGATGGCAGCCGCCATATTCATATTTTGGCTTCACCTTTGTATAGCAGAAGAAAGTGATGACACTGTCCATACTTATATAAAGTCAGTGGTGTGGGCTTTCAAAGCTCATTTTGATTGGGTTTTTGGATTTTGTTTTCCCTTAATAATAAAAACCTTCATTTAAAAACTGCATGATGTGTTTACTTGTGTTATCTTTGACTAATATATAAATTTGTTTGACGATCTGAAACATTACAGTGTGACAAACATGCAAAAAGATAAGAAATCAGTAAGGGGGCAAACACTTTTTCACACCACTGTATATACATTGTACAGATTATACAGACTCATACAGGTCTCTAGTTCTTAAGTACTCTGTTTTATCCCTATTTATCTCATTTCAATGAACATTCCTTTGTTGTCTGCATTATTTACTGTCTATTTATACTGCTTATTCTGCATTGTTTGCACTGTTTGTTGATGTTAATACTGCTATTTTGTTATATTACACAGCCTAATGCTGGTTTAGTGTTTGCACATTGAGAGCCGATGTACCAGAGTCAAATTCCTCGTGTGTCCGTCACACCTGGCCAATAAAGCAAATTCTAATTCTGATTCTGAAAATAAAGCCATTGTGAGGAAAAGTGGGCAGGCAGACGTGAGTGAGTGGCAGGAATTGCAGCTTAGCTGGACTGAACCTTTCGATGTCTTCCTAACTACACTGTACTGAGTGTGCTTGAATTGAATCTACAGTAGGTAACATCAAAATTCACAAGTAAAACAGCTAACTTATAATTTGCTTTAAATGTTAGGAGTCACCAGTTTGTGTTCTCCAGACGATAAAAACAGATGTCTATAGAAAACACATTTTTCTAGTTGCTTGAGTTTCTTCATTTACTGTTCTTAGCATCTTCTCTGACCGGTCCTGGACAAAAAAAGGGGGTAATATGTGTGAGCATAGTGGCTGCCACCTATTGTGGCAGGCCTGTCTACTCATACATCTCATTGGTACCATGTGCCTACAGGACAAACTTGTCAAAGGAATCTTTTTCTCTCCTGTAGAAACCTTGTGTCTACTATTGACTAATCGAGTTATGCTTTGGGCCCAGACAACTCAGGGAGGGGACATGAAGGACACAAGTTTCTCCCTTGTTGTCAGGGAAGTCCCAACACCAAAATATCTTCTGCATATCTTCTGTTATTCTAGCTGTGTAAAAATTAAACCAGAGTCTGAACTCAGCACCATCTGCCGAGTTCAGACACAGTTGCTTGGCTAACATTAAAGGAGCATCTGCCAGTTGAAAAAAGGGAATTAATTGATTTTAGTGCAGTGAAAGAGAAGAACAGATATATAACTATAATGATCAACACTGGTTAAGTTGACTTACTTAACACTGACAGAGAATTTGAATTTTTTATTGACAAGATGATTCAGGTATGACCACTTGTACAACTCTACACTTACTGTATGAAACTAGAGCAGTATGTCTTTATTGTGGCATGCATACTCTCCATGACTCAGATTGTTTTCCTTTTTTTAAATTTTATTTTGTTTAATCATCTTGTACAAATTGAATAGCCATTGCTCAATGTTTACAGTTAATTTTTAGGACTAAATTTCTGCAGCTACAGTGGCTCAGTGAGGCTCTAAATGTTCATGCTAACCTGCTCACAATGATGGCGCTAGCATGCTGATGTTTAGTAGGTATACTGTAATAAAAAAAGGGGAAATGAAATGAGCACAAAACAAGTAATATCAGACCAGAATGATGTTATTTGTTATACACATTTTAATGCCACTATGTGTAGAATTTAAGCTTTCTACCTTTGGTGTTCTCTAGTGATTGTAAAAAGAGTGGAACAAGTGGAACATGCAACTGAAGTGCATTGGATACACATACGCCACTGATCATGGCTAGACGTAATAATCACACAACAATTTTACAAATACTACACAAACCATGGATTTGTTCACATTTTTACAAAACAAAAATAAAAACAGCACAAGTTAAATAATACAAAAACAAAGTTGGATTAGCTTAGATGTTCTGGTTAAACATGATGAAACACAGTCCACTGGACTGTATCCGTGAAATGTGCTGCCTAAGTTAGCTTTGAGTCTTTGGCTTACATTCCTGGTTTGGTGAGTTGGTCTTATAGCACAGCTACAAGCAAGGAGTAGAACCAGAGGAGGAACTACAGTGAAATGACCAGTTCTAACAGTTTTAAGCATAGCTTAAGGAAAGATACATTTGAGCACACTTTTTTTTAAATTCACATATTTCTTCAATGCACAATAGCATTACAGCTACATCATCATCACAGTCAGACTTAAATGCATGTGATGCATTA